CCAGGCTATTCCATAAGCTTGGCCCTCCCCAAAGGCCTCTGAGCTCAGCAGCCTAGCCCAGCTCTGCCTGGGCCACCCTGCTTGACCACTGGCCAGTCTACCTCCCTCCATTCCCACAGGCAGGTTTCCCAGGCGTTACCAAGGAGACCACTCGCATCCTGCCCAGGGTTGCCAAAGCAACCAGTTCAGTGAGAAGCAGCCCCTAAGCCTCTAGCCCTTGGGAGAGTAACAGACCAGCAAGAAATAGGCCTAGGCAGCTGGCACACCAGGATAGAGGCATCCCTGGCATCCTCTGGGCAGTGCCCAGCTCCTGCCCTCCTTCCCTCACCCCTTCCTCCCCCTTGCTCTTGCCTGTCTGGCCTCCATGTTGGCCTCTGTGATTGAGAGCAGATGCCAGACCCTCAAAGTGCATATCTTGGAAGTGAGCACATCCCATCCCAGAGGGTCAGGGAAAAGAAAGCCTAATGCGCAAAAATTCCCCCAAGACCAAGTTTCTTCCCCATGGGGTCTGGTGTTCTGTGCAGAAGTCCCAGTTTCACCACTTCCTAGGTCAGTGATCCTGGACAACATTCTTTGCCAAGGATTCAGGGGAGGAGGTAATGGAGAATGACTGCTTACTGGGTACAGGCTTTCCTTTTGAGGCGATGAAAACATTCAGGAACTTGATAGAGGTGATGGTTGGGACAACACTGTGAATGTACTAAATGTCACTAGACTGTACAGTTTAAAATGTTAAAATGAGAGCACCTAGGTGGCTCAGTTGGTTAAGTGCCTGACTCTAGGTTTTGGCTCAGGTCATGATCTCATGCGTCATGGGACTGACCCCCACGTTGGGTTCCATGCTCAGTAGGAAATCTGCTCGAGGATTCTCTCCCTCTGTCCCTTCTTCCCACTCTCTCTCCCTCCCTCTCTATCTCTCTCTCTAAAATAAATAAAATAAAAAATAAATAAAATGTTAAAATGGTGGATTTCGTGTAAATTTCACTACAATTTTTAAAATGATGGGAGGTGGGGCGCCTGGGTGGCTCAGTGGGTTAAAGCCTCTGCCTTCGGCTCAGGTCATGATCCCAGGGTCCTGGGATCGAGGCCCGTGTCGGGCTCTCTGCTCAGCGGGGAGCCTGCGTCCTCCTCTCTCTCTGCCTGCCTCTCCACCTGCTTGTGATCTCTCTCTCTGTCAAATAAATAAATAAAAATCTTTAAAAAAATAAAAATAAAAAAAAATGATGGGAGGTGGCCCATCCAATCCTCATCTATAGGTGACCACTGGGGCTGGATAGTCCTCCACAAGGTTTTCAGTTACCTTTCCATCAACACTTAGCAACAAGCAGACAGGCACTCAGAGAGAGCTGGGAAAGGAGAAAGTTTATTCTCTGTATTTGTCTCCATGAAGCAAGTGCCCCTTGCCCCAGTTACCCTGTGCCCCTCACTGAGAATATATACACACAGTTACCGATTCCCACCTCCAAGCCTCTGCTGTATGTCCCTTCACCCTCTCATCCCCATACCCTAGCACACCTGCTGCACCCCTTGTCATCTATCAAATTTCTGCAGTTCCCTCCATGACCAGCTCAAAGCTGCCCTGCCTTTTCAAAATAGATCTTCAGCCTGTGAGTATACAGGGATGTCAGAAGACCTCACCTCTAGTCCAGGCACACACAACTCCTCATAACTTTCTGTTGGTCCTAAGCCCAGAGCTATGCCTTGGATCTCTCCCCTGGACCCTCCTAGACCAACACTGTTCAGACTCCAGTGGGAATCAGCAGCAGTGAAGTCAGTGTGTCTCCAGGGAGAATACCAAAGCCTATAACCTGAAAGGTAATGGACAAGCCTCATTTCATGTCAGCCTGACAGCCAGACCAATCATAGATCTCCAGTGTGTCCCAGGGTCCCTATTATGCCAGACCTCTTCCGGTTGCTTTAATTAAATTGGTGAGAAGTCAATAGAGATTGCAGTTATAGAAGGAGAGAAAAAATCAAGAGTTCCCCACCCCCAGCAAAGTTTTAAGACAGACGCTGATATGAATTAGAACTAGATTCAGGGTGAGTACAGAAGCAATAAGAACAGAAGTCTCGGTGGACAGGCTTAGAATCACAGCCAGTAGTGAGGTCAACACCAATACAATTAGAATGGAATTCTGGATGACCACTGACACATCAGAGAAGACTACTAGGTCAATGCTGATACAGTTAGAAGGGAATTTGGAATGGACACGAAAACAATCACAGCATAAAACTGATGGCTTGATTAGGGTGGGGAGAAGTCAGGATCAGTGTAACCCAGGCAAAGGACAGAGGGTACCTATAGGTGGCTGTCATGGGCACACTCTAATCCTTCATCTCAGGCTTGGAAGGAGCAGAATCAAAATTCTCATGGCCACCTCCTGTAGGCATGTGGGAAGGGAGAAGAGAGTGGATTCTGGTAAATCAAGCCTGAAGGGAGATGGGCAGAGGGAGGGAGACAGGTAGGGGGAGAATTTCACCACCATGTAGTCCCCAAGAAGAAGAAACTCAACCCTGTAAATCAGGGAGGCAGCACAAGGGGGGTTTCCCAGACCACACAGGTGGGGAGTCAGGCAGAGGAGAAAGTTGGGGTGGGGGCAGGTGGGAGGCTCCCAGACTTTTTCCCCGCCCCTTCCCTCCCTTGCTGAAGACCCAAGCCACAGAGACTTCACATCCCCACAATCCCACACTTTAGGTAAAAAGGGATGCAATTACCAAAGCATTTCCTGGGCTTCCCTAGGGTCAAGGATGGAGCAGGCCTGCCTTCTTGGGGCAGTTTGTGAGCAATTAAACCCCAAGTCAACTCATTGGCCCAGCTACCCTATCCTTGAAGGGTTCAGCCTGACTTAGCCACCTGATGCACTGAGTAAGTGAGCAAATCACTCTCCCTTCCCTTCCTTCTTCTCGCTTGCGAGGGATGACAATGCACCAGAGGATGTCCACTGGTTCTTCCAACATTAGGAGTCTTTCCAATACTCAGAAATAGTCTTTTTTTTTTTAAAGATTTTATTTATTTATTTGACAGACAGAGATCACAAATAGGCAGAGAGGCAGGCAGAGAGAGAGGAGGAAGCAGGCTCCCCGCTGAGCAGAGAGCCCGATGTGGGGCTCGATCCCAGGACCCTGGGATCATGACCTGAGCCAAAGGCAGAGGCTTTAACCCACTGAGCCACCCAGGCGCCCCAGAAATAGTCTTTATACATGTTAATACTTACAGCTTATTTCTGATGATAAAAAAATACTTGCTTATTGTAGAAATTTTTAAGAAGAGTGAAGTATAAAAAAGAAAAGAAAAAATCTTACATGATCCCATTACCGAAAGAAAAACCATCATTAACTTTTTGGTAACTTTCTTTTTCTTTTGGATTCATATTTTCTTAACAAAATTCGGATCTCACAGCCTATACAACTTTGTATCCTGCTTTTTTTCAACCACCATTATATTGCACTGAACATTTTCCCAAGGCATCAAATATTCTTCGAAAATACAAATTTTAAAGATTGCAAAATACTCCACCAAGAGGATATACCATGATTATAAGGCATTTAGGTCATTTTCCTAGTATAAATAACACTGCCATGAACATCTTGTAAATATGCTGCGTAAATATTTGCCTGGATCTCCATTTTGCTAGGTCAGTTCTTCTGGGGAGGATCACAAGGCCAATGAATGTGTTCTTCTAAAAAGATTGACATGTACCACCATATTAATTTCCAGAAAGACACAACAAACCCACTGATTTTCCCAAACGCAGTGAGAGCAGCAGTTCTGAAAGGTTTGGAGTTAGAATGCAGAACGGAGGTCCTGTTTCTCCTCCTCTCTCGCAGTCTGGAAAGTTAACTATCCAGCGAAAGAGAGGACAGAATTCCGAGTCAGAAGATACAGCTCTGTAGCCTAGCTCTGCCCCTCACTGGCTTCAGGAACCTAAAACAAGCATTGGTTCTCCTCAACTGTAAAATGGGTATGATTAGTTTTGCTGACCACTCAGAACAATTTCCAAACGCTCAGGCGTTTGTGAAAGTTCTTTGTAAACTTTAACGCTTTGTCAAGGGGTATGACTATTATTCTTCTCACAACCCAAGGGGCTGAAGAAGTGGGTGGTTCTTTGTGAAAGACCAAGCACTTCCCTTCCTGTCTCTTAGTCATCAGAATGCCCAAGACACGTGCTAGCTGGTTCTAAGGGTGACAGAAAAGCAGATTTCTGAAGGGAATTAGTGGGTCTGAGGGTCTGGGAGGACCCAGGTGTGTCTTACAAAGGTCAGAGACAGCACTGGAAGCCGGAGGGCTGAGGACTGGGCCTAGGGCTTCCCTGGGGGTGCCGCGTTGGTCTAGGGATTTAGACAGCAAAGACATTCCTGGTAAATGTTCCTCTCTTTCAAGGCTCCCAGCCTTTCCTTTCTAAGGTTCTGACTGGACATTTGGCCCTTGGAGGAACCAGAAAGCAAGCTGAGTCAGTGGATGCAAAAAGTCAACAGCTGCAGAAGACTCCAGAGGCCACCAGCTCTGGCCCCTTCTTCCAGGCTGCTATAAGTTAGTCCTGGATCTTTAAGATCCTCCAATTGGAAATGCAACTAGTGCTTCCAGCATGACCTCTCCAGCCCTGGGCAGATGAAAAAGAGACAGAGATGCCGCCCTTGAAAAGCACAGCTGTCCGGCCTGAGCATCCTGCCACACTCCCCTACCCACTGGGCAAATGCCCTTCCCAACGCCTGCATGTTAGCCTAGCATCATGGCCTGAGTTAACTCCAGTGACGTTCCCAGTGCTGGCAGGGACAACTGCGCAGACCCCACGGAACGCCATCCTCCCCGTTTTCAACATCAGCATCAGCAGCCCCCTACCCCTAGCCCACCTCCAGGGCCAGAAGAGCACCTCAAGTCTCCAATTACGAACAACAGGTGGCACCTGCCCGTACTCCCCAACTACACCGCTCCGTCTCCCTGCCCCTCCACCTGCGCCCCAGTCCTCAGGCTGCGCCCGGCCCAGCGGAGCCTTCCTTACCTTTGAGGGTTTGGGGGTGGCCCCGCGGCGCCCGGCTGGTGTTTCCTCGGGGCAGAGAGGGAATACTGGAGAAGTTGTTACCCATGGCATCCGGCCCCAGGGGGTTCGGCGCTCGCGGGGGGCAGGAGAGGCCGGGCAGGAGCAGAGGTACTGTGTGCGAATGTGTGCGCGCGCGGGCGCGCGCCGCCGGGGGAGGGCCCTGCCTGGGCTGCGGCCGGGGGCGGGCGGGCCGCCGCTCTCCTCCCTCTCTCGGGGCCGCGCCGTCCTCGGCGGCTCCTGCCCGCCGCGGGGGTCCTCGCGCGAGCCGGCTACCTGCCTGCCATTCCCCGCGGCTGGGGCTGGGGCCGCGGGCGAGCGCCTGGGCCGGGGCCGGCGGCGGCGCCCGGGGCTCCCCCGTTCCTCGGGCTGGCGCTTGGGTTCCCGCTGCTGGTGGGCGGCGCGGAGGCTCTGGCGAGCTCCCCCCGGGCCATAGAGTCAGGGCTCCCGGCGCGAGCGCTCGGCGGCTCGGCGGCGGGCTCGGTCCCCGCCCGCGTGGACGGCCGCTGCGGCGACGTGCGTGGCGCCCTCCCGCCGGCGGGTCCGCATGGAGCGGGGCTCTGTGGCGCGCGGGGCGTGCTGGGCGCTCCCGCCCCCGCCGGCTTCCTCCCGCGACCGCCGCCCCCGCCCCCCGGCCGCCGCCGTCGCCAGGATTCCCTGGCTCTGGTTGTTATGGTGACAGCTGCGCCGGTGAATGAGCGTCTTAGTGACACGCGCACGCCCGCCCAGCCAGATGTGTCCCCGGGGCGCGCCGCGTTCCCGCTGCCACAAGTTCTCTGCGGCGCTGGGGGCCCGGCCCGGGCCGGGGTGAGGGGCCAGGCAGATGCCGGGGCCCGGGGTCTTGGGCGCGTTCCTCTCACGGGTGGTGGGACTTGGTGTGGAAAACAGAGAAAGAGCAAGAACGGTGAGCTCCCTGGGGGCCAGGAGCAGGGCGAGTTAGCTCTACTTCGCAGCCTCCCTAGCGCTAGCTCAGGGCCTGGCCCACAGGCAAAGCTCAAGAAAAAAAATTTTTTTGAGGAGTGAATGGTTGATTCGATGAGTGAGGTGAGGTTAGAAACGCCAGCACTTGACCCTTGGTCCGCAGTTACATCTGCGGGTGCGCTGGGGCAGGGGCTCAGGACCAGAAGCCCAGCTATCCGGTTTCTGCGCACATCGCACTGGGGGCCTTGGGGTAAATACGGGGCCGGACCTAGGAGACTGGGTTGCTGGCCAAGCTGGGGGAACAGATCTCAGGGACAAACCATGAGAGAACCACCAACTCTGAACCCATTGGTTCTGACAGCTGCAAGACTTGCGGGGAGCCGAGCCTCTGCGGCGCTTAGCAATCACGGAAGGCTTCCTAGCGGAAGGGGCTTCAGCAAGTTGCCTATTTGCATGACTCTCTTATCCTCCAGCTCAGTACTGCTCCCAGGAAGCCTGCAGGAAGGGGTAAGGGAGCCATTCTCCTTCTACGTGGTCATAGACTATCTCCTCCCTGTCTGCTGGGGTAAAAGATGAGCCACCGTCCCCTCAAACAATCGGACTTCCTGCTCCTCTAGGTCACCTCTGGTTCTCTAACTGACTTCAACACCTTTGATCCAGAATCCAGTGAGGGTGTGAGCTTACAACAAGCATCTCATCCGTCCTCTTAGGGAAGATTCCATGAGATGGCTCCTCATTATTCAGGCACAGTTCACATGTCACCTCCTGACCTTCCCTGTCCACCCCAACTAAAGAACCCCCACCACCTCGGCCACTTTCCACACCATTATTGGGGGGTTCTTTTGGTGGGAGAGGGATTAGCGTGAAAGTAGCCTTTCCCTCTTATTTATGTTCTGCCTCCCCCACTAGAACATAAGCTCTGTGAGGCTAGAGGGCAGGTCAACTCTGCTGACCGTGATGTCCCGAGCCCCTAGGGGAGTACCTGGCACATGACAGACTATCAAAAAATACTTGTGAAATGGATGAATCTGCCTGCCGCCAGCAGAACTCCACTAAGACCCCTGGGAGTGAGGCTCTTTACATCCATCTCCTGCCCCCTGCCTCCCACCCATTGCAGGCATCACATCCATAAATGTCTGGGACTCCAGGCAAGCTAGAAATATCCATGGCAGCTGCTCTTTGGGGTCTGAAGGGAAAGACAGCCCCCACCCCCGCCTCCAGCCTCTTAAATGCCCAAGATCACGTTCCCAGCCAGCTGCAGAATGGACACAGGGGCCAGAGGTGCTGTCTTATTTATGGGCATATCTTCTCATGGCTGGCTCCCAACCAGTGACTCATGCATCAGAAATCCATGGGCTCTAAATGGCAGCACACTCACGCATTGACACACGCACCTCTCCACCCTCTCGCACACTCATTTCTACACTAGCGTACGCATACTCTCATGCATACGCACACACACCCCTGAAGTCTGCCGCAGTGAGGTCACCGAGAGCTGCTGCTGGCCTCAGAATAAATCTGAAGGCCTGTATAGACCAGACTGATTCCCCCAGAATGCGAGTGAAGGGCGGGGCTCCTGGGAGGATTTGCAGAGGGCGGCTGGGGCGTGGCTCAGGCCTGCCCTGGGGTCCCACCCCTGCCTTCCCCAAGGAGGAAGAGCTGGTGCATGGGCACCAGGGGGTGGGGGTGGGATGATGGAGGCCCCAAAGGGAGAGCACAGCAGGGATGTCACAGGCCCCACGTAGTCTAAAGCTGGGACTGTGGGCAAAGCAGGGGAGAGACAGAGAAGGTCAAAGGGAAGAGGAAGTAAGGGCCAGAGACTAGTGCCTGGCAGGGGAGCCCAGAGGCAGCCACAGGCTCTGCAGCCCGATCCCAGGGAGTCTCATGGGAAGGTAAGAGGAATCGGAGACCCAGGCGGGGAACTGAGAGCAGGAAAGAAACCTCCCCTGCCCCAAGAGGGCTGAGGACGTAATGGGAGCAGCTGCAGAACCAGGAGAAGATAAGGGACCCTTGTCCTGGCTCTTGGGGTCACGAGGGAGTGCCTCTGAAATGTTGCACCCCAAGCCACCTCCCTGGCCTGGCCCTCGCCCTTCCAGGGAGCTCTGTACTGTAGGAAGGGACGCCACAGTCAAGTGTCAACTGGATGCAAGTGTCTGGCGAGGCAGGGTCCTAGAGAAGGCAGGCGTGATGGCATGGGACTCAGAGAAGCTGAGAATTAAGCCCTCGGAGGGTCCTGTGTCTCAGAAACCCTTTTCTGGCAGGGGCTGTGGTTAGACCCAGCTCAAAGGATCAACGAACTCTGCCAGTCCCCTTCCGGACACTGGGGCAGAATCCCCGAGGCGTGTAGGACATTCTTCACCAAGGCAGCTGCCAGGAGGCAGGGAAATGGCGTGTGTGGCCCCACGGGTCCTGTCTAGCCCCATCCTGGTAGGGAGGAGGGAGGAAGAAGCTTCCGGGGAGACAAGGCTGGATGAAATCACTGTTTTGGTGACTTCAGTAGAAGCTATTAATACCCGTGAGGTGGGGCTCTGGTACCTGTCACCGTGGCAACCCCGCCTCCCCAGTGGTATGGATTCTGAAGGCATTGCCCAAGGGGATGGGTGTTGGTGCACACGTGTTTGCATGTATGTACATGTGTGTGCTGGTGCATGCACAAGTGGGTGCTGTGAGTGCTCACACCAGTGCGTAGGAGAGGGGGGAGCCCAAGCAAGGATGTCCGGCAGAACTGGGGGTCCTTCGACGGCAGCTCTAGCCCCTGTTTCTCTCCCTTAAGGCTGACTCCTTTCTCCCTCTCTCTCTGTCTCTCCCCCTTTCCCTCCCTCCCTTTGTCTTTGTCCCCTTCTGCCTGCCATTCTCTGCTTCTTGTCACTTTCTCTCCCGGCTGTCTCTCTTCTCTTTTTGTTCCCTGTCTGTCTCCTCCTGCTGGTTCCTCTCCCTCTTCCCCTTCTCTCTCACTCTCCATGGCTCCCAATTTCAGTTCAAGTCTTGAAGAGTCTCTGCATTGATAAATAATAAAATACTGGACAAAGTAACAAGTCCCTCCCTGAGCACCTGGATGCTGGGCCCAGAACCAGCCACAGGGAGGGGCCATACCAGGCAGACAAGAGTGGGGTTCATCGAAGCCAAGCCAGGCTCCCTGCAACTTGAGACCACCCTAGTCCATACCATGATATCTTCCTCCCTGTCAAGAAACTAACCTTAAGGGAGCCTGGGTGGCTCAGTGGGTTAAAGCCTCTGCCTTCGGCTCAGGTCATGGTCTCAGGGTCCTGGGATCGAGCCCCGCATCAGGCTCTCTGCTCAGCAGGGAGCCTGCTTCCTCCTCTCTCTCCGCCTGCCTCTCTGCCTACTTGTGATCTCTGTCTGTCAAATAAGTAAATAAAATATTTAAAAAAAAAGAAAAAAGAAAGAAAAAGAAACTAACCTTAAGATAGGAAAAAACCACAACCATCCAGAGGCTGGGAGACAGGGCCCCCCCCCATCCCCCAAGGCCCAGTCCATAGTTATCAGGCCATCAGAAAATCTATACAGGTTGTCCTGCCTGACTGTTAGACATGTTAGAGGTGGCTGGACATGTTAGAGGGGGAGATCTCTGAGTGCCTGATACATAATAGATACCCAATAAATATTTGTTCAGTGAATCAATGAATCAATAAATCAGGAAATTCTCCTATTAGTACAGCCACCCTGTCAGCTAGAAGACTTGCTCAGACCAGCCCACCTGGCCTGTTCCCTTCTCAACAATGTCTTTCTCACAAAGTTTTCCCTGAGGCCAGGCCTTCCCTTGGAAGGGAGTCTGTGCTACCATCTTAGCATGAAATGGGCACCACATGGCCCAGGCGCTTTGGAATTCAGCACCTCTTATTGACCCTGTGACCATTTATTGAGCACTACCTGTATGCCCGGCACTGTGTGGGGTGCGGCTTCCTTGCCAGCACCATGGGGGAGCCGCCCCTGTGCTTTTGTGCATCCCAGTTTCCTACCTCCTAAGGTTAGGGCTGAGCACACAGTAGGTCTCAGTATCATCAGATATCAGCTCTTCCTGACTTGATCTATGAATTCAATGCATCCCAATAAAAATTCTAGCAAGTTGTCTGTGGGGGGTCAAGAAACTGATTCTTAAGTGTGTAG